GTAAAAAGATCAGTAGAGAAGCGTCGCAGGATAATGCCCAGAAAGATTATTCGATTGTTGAAGAGGAATGTTCCGCGCTGACGTCGAGCTTATACAGTTACTTAATGTTAGACGAATGTTTTTACACGACTGCCACTTTACAATGACGCGAAGTTATAATTGTTTATCTCGGTGGCCGGCGCGCATGTTTGTCGTCGTCGCATAATGTGAAATATTTGCCCAATCGAAGAAGACAAAGATACTTTACTTATCTATACATCCATTCCCGTTCGTAAAACTAATTTAAACATATTAATTAAAAACTTATGTATAAAGAATATAATTTGCATAAAAAATCTAGACCACAAGAGATAAAAAAATATAATTTATTGTCTATAATGTGAGAAAAATCTAAATTTAGTAGTAGGTTTAAAGTAATAAAGTAATAATGGAATTTAACATTATATAAATTCGGTTGCTTTCATAACTTTAAGATATAAAACTTTTAATACAAACACAAACTAAAATTTTAATTTAAAATTAACATATGCGTTTTGTGAAATATTTAAAGATAAGTTTCTTCTCTCCCGATCATCTTTAACTTTTAAACTTTAGAATTCTTCTATGTTGATTTAATTAAGAAATACAGGATGTAAAGGTTCAAACGCAATCAAGTAAAGCAATTTTTTTTTCTGGATTGGTCACATTTCATATTGTGCACTTATTCCGTTTTCCGCCGGCGCGAAGAACGGCGTTTTTCTTTATTATTTTCCCTCGCCGCAGAAAACGTGACGGCGAACTCTGCGCGCGGCGAATAAGTTCCACTGCGAACGTGAGTCTGTTTCTCTCGACTACGGATTAATATACAGCCGAAATGTACCTACTATACGTAAATAAATAAATAAACAAATAAACAAATAGGTGGAAGAAAGTAAGGAGAAAGAAACTAGGCCGCTCGACTTTTTGTTTTTATTGGTACGAGAAACTTATTTTTACGTTCGGTCTTTTTAAATGCATGTATTTGTTAAAAATTAATTTATATGTATAATTTTTTTTAATACACGTTACCTGTCCTGCATATATATATATATATATATATATATTTATTTAAATGCTCAAAAAAATTCAGCAATTACTCTTAGCTAACATTTAGTTATTTGTTTTCGTTAAGAATAAATTGTGCCAAAATATACATATTAATAAAATATGAAGAGAAATAATTTTTTTTCAGTTAGAATATTTATTTAATATATTTTATATTATTTTATGTAACATAAAAATTATTAAATAAAATAATAAAATAATTGTTTTTATATATTTTTTAATAATACATATAGCAAAGAGCGTACGCATGCAGTCTATGCCAAATGTAAAATAAAATATAAAACATTATTTCACTCACGCGCAGTCTGTTATAAATAAATAATCGCTAGGTGAATTGGTACTATGCATCCTACGCGGCGACCCAAATTTAGACCAATATACGAATGAATCTCTTACTTGTCTTGGTTCTTTATCTTTCATATACATCATTAGTGCATTTATTGCAAAACACTTTTGGCATCCTTATAGTTATCTTAAACGTTAACATACAAATAAATTTCAAAAAAATTCTTTTTCTCAAATGCATACTCTTTTATATTTTGAAAAAAATTATAGCTTTAAATTATTCTAATTTTCTTTGATATCTATAGACATTTTCTTAGTAAATTATTTAACATGATTTTTTTATATGTATTTCTTGCAATTTCTTTCTCAATTCTATATTTTTTAAACTCTAGAATCAACGTTTTCAAAAAGTTTTCAGATTTTTATCGAGTTTATTGTTTAGAAATAATTACGATCATTTTGAGGACAATCATTGTGAGACACGATTCTTAAATTTACAGGCAAAACAGCTGCCTTATAAATGGCAGATTGCTTTTGCAATCTGTGTAAGCTGTTGCCTATTTAAATTTAGAAACGAAAACTTCACGAAATGAAGATATGCGACAATTCACTGTAAGATTGACTGGCAGGTAAGAAGGTACTGATGATAATAAATCTCCCTGGAGATCAATTCGCGCGCAAACAACAATAATTACATTGAATACCGCAAGAAGAATCAAATCCATCTTTTCTTGTTAGAGAAATAATAGATGATGGAAAGTACCAAACTCTATTTATTGATTAAAATTAGTAAAATTTTGATTTTAAGCAAATTCCGAATAAATCTAAATTTCAGACTTTCTGAATTCAGTATATTTATCTTAACTTTCTTGAATAATGATATATCATAAGATATAGACTCTCTCAATCTTAGATCTTTCTTGAATCTTGGATACTGTAACTCATGAATTATTCCTGAAGCTTCCTTGAATCTTAGATGCTCGTGCTTTTATATTCCTCGTACCCTGGTTAGCCTAACCCTCATATTTGTTGCAAAGTAACTATCTCAGAATCCAAATTCTTTAAATTCTAGGTTCTGAGAATGTTAAATTATTTGGCGTTCGTCTATCTAGCGCGTCTCACATTCCAAGAATTTTTGAAAATCTCTGAATTACAGGTTCCTAATTCTTTCCATTCCAGCTGCTTCAGTACCTGCAACATTCGCAGAACTCCTTTTACTCTAGAGTAATCTTAGATATTCTTCTCACATCATCATCATTGCACTTCATAATTCCTCTACTCTTCGTTCACAATTTTCACCTAATCCACCATCTCCAATATCTCGTGTTCCATGCCGACTATCGGATATCTAATATCCTCCCTTCTTCTATCCTTATTTCCTTTCTTCTATTTTCAGTTTACTCGCTTGATTGACGCTAATAATCGTACTATCAATTATTAGTAACTTACGTATGTATTTTCTTCATATCTGATAAGTAAATCCAAGGATGAAATTTCCATGACTGATCCCTTGATTAATTTACTCTTGTCTTAATACATTTGTGTATATTTTTAGTATCTATCTTTTTATTTCAACTGTACGCTGCTTGTCATAATATAATAACATTGTAAAAAAAGAAATCTGAATCTAAAAATATAATAAATCTTTTCTCTCATCTTCCTTCAATTATCTCTTTTTCTTTACATATTATTCATCTTCTTTTCTGTACTTATCTCTAAAATTACACCAAGATCCAAGAAAATCGGGGCTTTACATAAAATCTAGAATTCGTGGAATCAGGATACGGAGTAAACCTCTTGATTCTTCCGTTCGTTCAACTTTGTATCCCAGCATCGATACTTGATTCTAGATACTTCCGCCTCAGCTTCCCGTGTCTCTCTCTCTTCCTCAACCTCCTCTTTCTCTCCTATTTTTCCATCCCTAATTCACCATTCATCTGAAACCTCCACAATCACGCCGGTACTCTGCGTTACCCTCCGTCCCGCAGGGTCCAACCAAAACGACAGGATCACCATCTCCAGACGATTGATGCTCCGTGGCAGCTCCCGCCACCTGGTCCAGGGTTCATCCTCTCTCATGCCCTGCGCGCTATCCTAGCCAGAGAGGGTTTTCGCATCTCGATGGCGCTTCTGCCCCCGCGGCGGCAGCGAGGAAACCGCCGGCGCAGCCGGTGCGCGCGTTATTGATTTGACAGGAATGACGGGAGGCGGAATGGCGCAGGAATCGATAAGAGAAGGTGGTGGTCCAAGCTGCTGGTGGTGCGCTGCGCGAGGGTGCGCGAGAAAGAGAGGCCGTCGGTACACCGAGCATGCTAGAACGAGTGAACGAACGAGCGTGCGAGCCGCGGTGAGCCGTGTGGGGTTGGAAGCGAGCAGGTGGAGGGAGTGACGAGGAGAAGAACGAGGGCTGGCGGGAGCGGCAGCGAGGAGGAGGACCAGAAGAGAGGGAGCGGAGAATATTTTCATACTCCAGACTCCCGGCGTAGGTAGAAGATGGCAGCCGAGGCGTGATTCGGTCCGGGCAGTTTCCTCTCTTCTGGCCGCGCGCGCGCGAGAGTAGTAGGGCCGCAATCCGCTCCGGGTTTGAGAAGAAGTCGCCGGAAAATAGTGTGCTCTCCTTTCGCGGTCGATCTCCTTGTCGTTGGTCGACGGTGCACGAAAATCCCGAAGAAAGCTGCCGGGAGATGATTTGAGGAGAGCTAGAAAGAAAACGAGGAGAGAGAAACAGAAAGAGAGAGAGAGAGAGAGAGAGAGAGCGAGAGAGAGAGAGAGAGAGAGAGAGAGAGAGAGAGAGAGAGAGAGAGAGAGAGAGAGAGAGAGAGAGAGACGAGAGAGAGAGAGAAGAGAGAGAGAGAGAGAGACTGACTGACATTAAGAGAGAAAGACGGTCTGAGAGAGGGAAAGAGAAACAGAAGGAGAGATCCGTTTCGCTCCGCTCGGCTATATTCCGCTCGCGCGACGTGTCCGTCTTGCTGTTTTTCTGTCGTTTTTTTCGTCGCCGCACATACAGTCATCCGCGCGAGCGCGCTATTCGCACATCTCAGAGATCGGTAGCGCATCATCATCAGGAGGATCAGCTCGTGATCCGCTCCGATCCGCTCCGCTACGCTCCGTTCCGCTCGGCTCCGCGTGCCGCGTCTAATGATCGAGGAGGTGGTAGACGTCGGTGATTATGCGCGTAGTAATGAATAATCCTGTAAAGCCCGTCGGGATCGCAACAGCCGCCATCGTCGCAGTGTTTCACGAGCGTCATGTAATATGGAATTAAACAATGTTGTTAAGACGTAAACATGTTCTGGCTACACTGTGGACTCTTTGTTCTCGTGATTGCCGTACGTGGATTTATTAGCAGCTTAGCTGACACCACATCCAAGCGAGGTAACGCCTGCCTGCCTTACCTGTCTGCCTTAAATTTATCTTGCCTGCTCGCTTGCCTGTCCGGATTGGTAGCTGAGTGTATTGGTGGCTGGAGCTTAATCGCACCGAGGGTGATCGATCCGATATTTTCGAGGATGCAGAACGATCGTAATTTACTAAAGGAAATTTGAATTTGTTCGACCCGAATTCTTTATCAAATAATCATGTCTATCAGAAATATTTATTTCGATCAATTTTGAAAAAGACTGCGAACTGAGTATCGAATAATTTGACGTAGGGTAATTTATCGGGTTAAGTGGAAGCTACGGTCCTCTATACGAATGGCTGGGTGAATGAATGGGTGTAAAGCGCTGATCGTTACGGAGGTATTACACCTGCCTGCGCACCTTGCTTGGCCACCCTGTCCGCTTAATAGTCCTAAGGAGGTAGGACTCAAGAAATGGGGGAAGAAATGGATTTAAGGATAAAGATTCGAAGATCTAAAACTTTTTCACTATAATTTTACGCAAATAATTGTAACATTTTGCACTAAGATGAATCTAATCTGACCAATAATTTAATAATAAATGATCTGTATGACTTATCGAGTGACAATATCCGTTTGGTGAACTGGAATAATTTTGCTAGAATAATTTTCAGTGTGAAGGGATAATGGTTTAGTTCATAATTAGAGCGCGAATTATTCACCGAGTAATCACGTCCGGATAGCTGGATGCAATCATGTCAAGCAGCATGTTTGTCCGTTTAATTCTAAAGAGAGTTCATTAGTTTTAGTTTATTTAGTTGAATAGCTTTGATATTTTTACATTTAGATTTTTCAATAGTCCAAATTTTTTACATTTACAAGAAGCAATGAGATTATAGATTTTCAATTACTGTCAGTTCTTTGATTAATAATTTGTTGAACTTTAAGTATCTAAAATGATATTCCCTTGAATTTCCCAGATTTAAAGTCGATTTTGGATTTGTTAAATTATAAATTTCCTAAATGGAAAATCATCGTTTCATTTTCAGCGTCAAAGAATTCATAATGTTGGGTTTGCGGGTCAGGATATCCCAGAATTCAAGGAATCCAGAGAATCTAGGATTCAAATGACTTAATCTAATCTCTAGAAATTAGATGAAGGGATCTACTCAAGGAAATCAGGAATTTGGGTTCATAAATCCCAGGATTTAGATATCTAAAAAATTAAAAGTTCAGGTTAAAAGATAAAAATGTTTAACGGAATATTGAAAATTTATGATTTTGAAATTTTATGTCTTATAAATTGTACACAACTAAAGTATAAAAAAAATTAAATAAGAGAGAAGGAAAAGATGGAGAGGAAGGAAAAAAAAGAGAGAAGAAGGGGAGAGAACGAGAGAGAGAGAGAGAGAGAAGAGAGAGAGAGAGAGAGAGAGGAGAGAGAGAGAG